ATTAGTATTTTATAGTTGCTAAATATAAAGATCATTTCTTCCCTCAAAATTAGTATTCACTTTGAAATTATCATTTCTTCCCTCAAAATCATTCAATTTGTATTGCCACAATGCCACTTGTTTTGTCTAATATTTTTTATTTAATAGTAATTAAAAATCCCTAACACTAATTCAACAGTTTGAGGTAATTGATACATGAACTACTAATACAATTATAAGATCAACAGGTTTTTTCTTAGTAAAAGGCAACCTCTACTGGTGATAAATTTTATTGTGTTGGGCTAAGTACATTATGTTGTGTATGTGCAATGTGCACCAATCATTATTGTGTGGACTATGATCCTCATAGCTGTGTGGACCATACTATCAAATAGTATACATTCAATACACAAATAATTTATTTTTAATATATTAAAGATGTACATTATATTCAGAGAAAGTATATTATTTGAGTACTGAAAGTATATTATTTTGTATAGTGTACATTCAGTACACAAATAATGTACTTTTAATATATTAAAAATGTACTTTTTGTTATGGTTAATACAGCATGGTCCACACAATAATTTGCCAATGTGCACTATAGCTTTAAAAATAGAGAAAGGCATAGGGATAGTGCAGTGTTTGTGTGTTAGGCACAATTGTTGATGGCCCAGAGGCTGGTTTTTAGATCATCCTCTGTTAGGTGAGATTTTCTGATGCAAAAGTAGAAAGCCTTGGCCTATATATTTTCAACCAAATATAATATATATGAAACTTTCTATGATATCTCTTATGATCGTATAGTTTTATTAGTTGGGTTGAGAATGGTAAAAAAAAAATAGTATAAGTTGACAAAAAATATTTTATTTTTTATTTGACAAATCGAGGTCTGTGATAAGATGCATTAAAATCTATGTATTTTAATGTTGATTTCTTCCCCTTTCTTTTGGTGGTATCTTTTCATAATAGTTGGATTGCCATTAGGGTAGCAGTTCCATTTTCAGCCACGTCTGATCTTATCCCTTTGAAAAACTTTTATTGACCTAGGCCATCCCCACTTCAACTCTCTTACTTTTGTCTGTCCTCCTCAGATCTTCCTTGGATAATTTCAACAATTTTTGTCCTGCTCTTAATTTCCATAAGGTAGAATTCAAAATAATTTCATAAGTTTTGCTTTATTAGTAGTGGCAGAACACAAAATTCAGTCTATTAATAACTAAAAAAATAAGGTATAAATTTGACATTATTGTTAGTACTAGTGAACAAGTATTTGAGACCTATAGGCTAGTTAAATCAAATTGCGCTTGCGCTTTACCTTATTCACCCGTTTCTATGAATGGTGAGGGGTCTTAAATTTATGATTCAATCTTAATTACTTGTGGTAACGGGTGAGGGACCTTTAATTTGTGGTTCATACTTAATTACTTGTGATAATAGGTGAGAGACTTTAAGTTTATGGTTCAAACTTAATTGGTAACATTGCATTTTGAGGGCACAATCTTAATTTTTTTATTTATTTATTTTTTTTGTGAATGTTTTATTTGTAAATAATTTAGCATTAAGCTTCATACAAAAACATATATATAATGATTATTTATATCTTTCATTAAATATTTATGTGTACCATCATACACACTCTTAACACACTGAGATTGAGCAAAGGACAAGAATAAAAAAGAGAGCCAATAAAGAAGAAGAAGAAAACAAACAAAGAAGGATATGAGTTTGAGGGCAAAACATACAGCTAGAAAAGACACCATAACATGATGAAGAAAAAGAAAGGCATGCACATGAATAAATATACCTACGAAAGGAGGAATCAATACACAAAAAATATAAGGCACCACATCAGGGAATATGCACATATACTACATTGGGGAATGGGGATGGAGGATATTTGGCTTGGCTAAATATTCTGGTGCAACTTTGTATCCAGATATTTGGTCAAGATTATTGTTTAATAATAATTTTTTTAAAAAAAAGAGGTAAGATCACATGTGGAGCACGACTTATAACGTGTAAGTGTATGTGGTACACTTGTGATGTAGGTATAGAGTGTGCATAGGTGCAATGTCGCTCTCTAAGAATGTAGTTTATGACATACAATATGTGACAACAACCAATTAAAATTTAACCTTATGAAATACACAAAAGCTAAGCAAACACAAGAAGTCAAAGACACCTATAACTAAATAAGAAATAATAAACACACATATAAACAAGGGGATAACACTAAATAAGGACAATAAGATTCAAGTTATAGAACATTATCTTCTAGATGTATAACACAATCCTAAGGATTGGGGAAAGAACATACAACTAAGGATTTGAAGGGATGCGTGTAGGTATCCTAGTCTACAAGTTACTCTTCTGAACATATAACCAATGGCTAGGACGGACTAGCAATTGCCTCACTCTTGTGATAGAGGAATTCTAAGTCCTTCAAACACAATTAGCATCAAAAGTCTCATATTTCCCCTATTTTCATAGTAAGAAAGAATGATTATGCAATGAGTGACTTAGAATCTTGACACAACTCTCGTTGTGACCAAAATTCCTTCAAAAACATGCTCGCAAAGCAAATTTTAGTAGTGAGCAGTTATATGTCCGTCACTAATATTTTCTCTATTTTATCCCCATTTTTATTTTCGGGTTAACACCTGCTCGCAAAGCAAATGTTAGTGGCTAGCATCAATATATTCGCCACTATTGTTTTTCCCCCTTTTTGTTTTAATTTCCTATTCATAAGTTGCAAGCAAGTGTTAGTCATGAGCAACTATCTATCCCTACCCCTCCTTCTGTGTTCGTGTTCACACATGCCTAAAAAGAAAATGTCATTAGTGAGTAGCAGTCTATCCGCCACTGATTTTTTTTAACCTTTCGTTTTGTTTTAATTTACTATTATAAGGTGCAAACAAGTGTCAATTGTGAGCATTTGTCTATTTGTCACTAATGTTTTCTTTTCTTTTCCGGATCCCCCCTTCGTATTTTCCAATAGTTATATGTTCGCCACAATTATTTGTCCATCATAGACCCCCCCCCCCCCCCTCCCCCTCCATCTTTCCCTCCTTTACGTTTTAATTTCTTGTTCATAAGGTGCACGCAAGTGTTAGTTATGAGTAACTATCTGTCCACCACTAACATTTTTCTATTTTTCTTCTTTATGTTTTCGTGTTTACACATGCTTACAAAACAAAATGCCTGTCGTGAGCAACGATCTATCTGGCACTGGTGTTTTTTTCCCATTTTTGTTTTAGTTTCTTGTTCGTAAGGTCCAAGCAAGTGTCAATGATGAGTAGTTGTATCATGTATGCCTACCACTAACATTCTCTATTTTCCCCTCTTTTCGTTTTCATGTTCGCAAAAACAAATGTTAGTGTCAAGCATTAGTCTATCAGACACTAATTTTTTCCCCTTTTTGTTTTAATTTTTCATCCGTACGGTGTAAGCAAGTGTTAGTAGTGACAATTATCTATCCCCACCCTGTTATTTTGTTTCCGTGTTCGCACATATTCCAAAGCAAATGTTAACAGTGAGTTGTTCGCCACTGATATTTCCCCTCTCCCCCCTCCTCCATCTTTCCCTCCTTTACGTTTTAATTTCTTGTTCATAAGGTGCACGCAAGTGTTAATTATGAGTAGCTATCTGTCCATCACTAACATTTTTTCCATTTTTCTTCTTTATGTTTTCGTGTTTACACATGCTTACAAAGCAAAATGCCAGTAGCCTGGTGAGCAACGATCTATCTGGCACTGGTGTTTTTTTCTCCCATATTTGTTTTAGTTTCTTGTTCGTAAGGTGCAAGCAAGTGTCAATGATGAGTAGTTGTATGCCTACCACTAGCGTTTCCTCTATTTTCCCCCTCTTTTCATTTTCATGTTCGCAAAAGCAAATGTTGGTGTCAAGCATTAGTCTATTAGACACTAATGTTTTTTCCCTTTTTTGTTTTAATTTCCCAATTACAAAAACACACTACCAAAAGAATATGACAAATAGTGAAGATGAAGATGGCAATGACAATACTACTCAAAAGAGAATTAAGAATACTTAGAAAAATTCAAATCAAAAGTAGTATTTATTTAGACTATCGATTTTATAAAGTTTCAATTACTTATGTATGAACTTCTCATATATAATATATAATCTTGCATTACTTATTTACATGGACGGAGCCAAAGGGGGGCAGGAGGGTCAGCTGCCCCCCTTACCCCCACCCCCACCCCATATATAATCTTTGAGTGTATATATAGTATACGTTTGAGTATTAGTATATAAAAACTGTTGATTGTTAATAAGAAATGATTTGGATTAGTTGGTAAAACGTGTGTTTGGTTACAATGAAGGTTAGGGGTTTGTACCTTTGATTGTCAATATGTTTCATATTTTTATAAAGTCGCCCCCTCAACAGAGAACTTGCGCAATATAAGAATAAGTATATACTGTCTCTACTGAAGTTTAAACCCATAACCTCTCAAATAAGATAACAACTTGGTACTAGATCACAAAGTCCTTGACATGTAATATGAACTTATAAAAAATAATTACATTTTAATTAAAAATATTAAACGAGATATACATTTTCACCAAAAAAAAAAAAAGAAGAAAAGGAAGCTTTATAAATGATTATTAAAAGAAATAAGGGAGGACCCAATATGCCCCCACCTAGAATAGTTTTTCTCACGCTGCGGCCTCGTGCATACTTTATGCCGCGTCACTGTCCCATGACCCATCCTCCCCAATCTGATCAACATTCAAGACTCCATCCAGACCGTCCACTTTCAGATACGTGTGCGCCCATCCTTCTCCCAACGTGCCCGTCTCCCATTGGCTGATCTCCACCAACCTCTACTGCTCATACCATTCGCGTTTCGTCCCGCCCGGGCCCCACCGTAAATAATACTCCGTATTTGCCTCTTTTTTCTTTTTTTTTTTTCTTTTTTTTTTTTTCTTTTTTTTTTTCCGCTAAAATAAAAATAAAAATAAAAAGAAAGCAGCAGCGAGCCATTTGTCGCTTTGAATAGAACCATTGCAGACAAGAACCGTCTTGGCTGCTTGCACTCTTTATAAGCATTCACCTGAGAAGAGAGAAAATTTTATCTTTTATTTTTAAATATCTCAGAAAAGGTAATCAAAAATGGAAAAATGAAAATCTCCATTTCTGTCTCCTTCAAATTCCTCTTTTTGTTTATTTATTCATTTATTTTTGTGCCTCCGGGATGATTAATTGCTGCTTCGCTTTCCTTCTTAGCTGCTTGAGCTTGCTTTGCTTTGATGTTTTTTTCTGTTAGCTTTACTTGGTTGAATCATCGGCTTGCTTTATTGGAATAGTATTGTTTTTGGGGGAAAATAAGCTTTGAGATGTTTTGTTTTGCTTTTAAATGGTTGCTTGAAGCTTAATCTCTGTTGCTTGTGTTTGGAATTTCGATGTTTTATGATGGAATGTGGTGAATTTCTGGTTAAATTTTGTGATTTCTGGTTTAGGTGTTTGATTCATTGATTGTTAATCTGACATACTTTTTTTTTTTTTTTTTTTTTTTTTTTTTTTTGTGATTGTTAGAAATTCAGTGAGATTGTGAAGGCTGTGTGGGAGTGGTGATTGAAATGGGGAGTAATTTGAACTTCAAGAACTTTGGAAATGAGCAGTTGGGGGATGGTGGGGGAAGGCAGGGGAGTTTTGGGCTGGTGCGGCAGTCGTCGATTTATTCCTTGACTTTTGATGAGTTTCAGAGCGCGGTGGGGGGTGGGATTGGGAAGGATTTTGGGTCTATGAACATGGATGAGTTGCTGAAGAATATTTGGAGTGCAGAGGAGAATCAGAGCATGGGATCAGCTAGTGGTGGGCAGCAGCAGAACAGTGGTCCTAGTGGTGGGTATTTGCAGAGACAAGGGTCTTTGACATTGCCAAGAACACTGAGTCAGAAGACTGTTGATGAGGTTTGGAGGGATATAATGAAGGAATACTGTGTTGAGAAAGATGGGAGTGGCGGCGGTGGTGGTGGTGGTGGTGTTGGCGGCTCAAATATGCCTCAGAGGCAGCACACTTTGGGAGAGATGACCCTTGAGGAGTTCTTGTCTAAAGCTGGGGTTGTGAGGGAAGAGACACAGATGGGTGGACAGGTTACTAATGGTGGAGGAGTATTTAGTGATTTGGTGAGTAATTCTGGGCTAGGATTCGGGTATCAGCAGGCTGGGCAGAACAACAACAACGCAGGATTAATGGGCGGTAGGATGCCTGAAAACAACGCTGAAATTGGTATCCAATCCGCTAATTTGATGTTGAACATGAGCAGGGCAAGGCCTTCTCAGCCACAGCTCGGGACTTCACAACAACAAAAGGTAGAGCAGAACCACCACCACCACCACCAGCAACCGCTGTTTCCTAAGCAACCACCCTTGGCCTATGGTGCTCCAATGCCAATCCCGGCTAATGGTCAATTACGCAGTAATGGAATGAAGGGTGGTGGGGTTATGGGAATTCCCGATACTGCAATCAATGGCAATCTAGTTCAAGGCTCTGCCCTGCAGGGTGGAGGGATGGGTTTGGTAGCTTTAGGAGCTGGGGGTGGGGGTGTTACCGTTGCTACAGGATCCCCAGCTGTTTCATCAGACGGGCTCACCAAGAGTAATGGAGATACCTCTTCTGTGTCGCCAGCTCCTTATGCTTTCAATGGAAGTGTAAGGGGGAGGAAAGGCAGTGCACTGGAGAAGGTCGTTGAAAGGAGACAGAGGAGAATGATAAAAAATCGAGAGTCAGCTGCAAGATCAAGGGCCAGGAAGCAGGTACTTGCTGTCTTGCTTGCATTATAGTAAAGTTTCCATTCATTAATATGATGGTATTATCAAATTAAAGAAAGTTTCAAATTTAATTGTTCCATCTCGGGATTGAGGAGTATAAAATGGTTTAAATGAAATATATAGTAGTCAAACTTACAGAATAGGAAGGGAAATTAATGATCGAGTTACTAATTCTTGTTGCTTTGAGGATTATTATTATTATTATAACATTCAACTTTTATTAGTTTATGTGACTTACATTTGCAACAAGGTCATATAAATGAGTATTGACGACTTGTACAAATGAAACTCATAATCAGCTATAGAATGGCTGGTGCCTTCATCATTATTCTAAATAACTGCAAGAAACAGTACTAAACAAATGCTTTTTTAACTTTCCTTTGCTTAAGAATGTGATCCAGAATCAATATTTTAGTTGCAAATAAGTTTCACTGAGTAGTGTCTGCCTGTTTAACTTCTTTCCAGGCATATACTATGGAGTTAGAAGCAGAAGTTGCAAAACTAAAAGAAGAAAACCAAGAACTACGTAAGAAACAGGTCAGTGTTGAATTTGTTATGTGATGCGTTTATGTATGAGCACTTTTATATATCCTTTTCGCTGACATGAATATGTACATTGTTTTTGCTGCAGGCGGAGATGATGGAAATGCAGAAAAATCAGGTACACCAAATTTTATATATACTGCTTCTGGGTTTATCATTTTTGTTATCTTTTTGGGTACATTTAATGGGGATGGTAGGGGATGGGATGCAAACCCAAGCCTACTACCTGGCGAGGGGTTTAACTTTTTTTTTTTTTTTTTTGAATGCTACTGACTCTATTACAATGTAGTATCTGTTCATGTTCATAACTACTTTCTCAACCTACTGAAGCACAAAGTACCAATAACGCCTCCACTGAGGCTCGAACTCACAACCTCCCATATGGGGTTTAACTTAATATTAAGCTAAAACGAAATTCTGAAGTTTCCTAGGACAGGTTGTGTGTTTGTGTGTATTATTCATTCAGAAAACATTGGAGTTAACTTCTGGGGGCTAAGTAGTTAGCACGTAGAACAAAAGGAATTGCCATCATGCTCAGAAGTGGTAAAGTAGAATATCTTTTCCTATGTGGTGAGTTGGAGATCAAACTGCCAGAAATTTGGCTTTCATAATTTAGTTGAAACTTGAAAGGTATATCCAGACACTTATTAGATGAGAAAGTGTTGGTTAAAAGTCACAAAAGATAAAATAGATGATTGTAAAGATGGGAAGATTCGATACTAACATTGGGTTAAAGGAAAAATTAAAGCTGTTAGGATGGGTAGATCAATTGATGAATTTCTTATGACTTATGCCGAAGATTAGTTTGGCAAAGATTAAAGTTCTTAGCTTCTGATCATTCATCTTCTAGTTGAACCCAGTCTTATTAGAGTGAACAAAGCTGTCTAATTTGATTATCGACCAGTCTGCATAATCAACATAGTGTTATGATTTCTGGAACTATCACAACAACAGCCTTGTTATTGTATCCAATCAATTAAAGTTCTTCAATTTATTCAAACTGTATTATAACTGCAGGTTCTTGAGATGATGAATCTTCAGCGTGGAGCTAAAAGGCGATGCCTCAGACGCACACAGACAAGTCCATGGTAAAAGCAGCGCAGGCATTGATTGCTGGGATACATCTAAATCGAGTTTAGGCATTCGTAAATATGGAAATGAATCATATATTCACTTTAAAATTTAAATCAGAAGAGAGTTATCAGTCTCTTTTTCTTTATTTTCTTTTTCTTCTTTACTTGGAATCTGCCTTGTTTACACTGCACATATGCAGGCAATTTAGAATATCTAGTTGAATGGATATATAGATCATTTAGGTCTGCAAAATTTCATGTTCCTATACTAGAAGATATCTAGGACTAGTTTTCTGCTTCTAACACCCTTAATTATTACAGGCTTTCTGGGTTAAATAGGATTAGGATAATGGTCAAATAAGTTCTTGAACTATTCAAGAAAATTTAATTAAGATTCTTGAATTAAACCAAAAAAAAAAAAAAAAAAAAAAATCCAACTAAACACATGAACCTAGAGAAAATGTGTAATTAGTTATTTTGACCTATTACTGTAGATAAATAAGTTTCACATCATTATATTTTAGCAAGATTGTAAAAATCGTTAGGTGTTCTTTGCATCTATTTAAGACTTGATAATTATTAATTATTTATCAAAATAGACTTGATAATTATAAATTATTTAATACTTTAATAGCTAATATTAAAATATTAAATATTAACTTAAAAACATGTAGAATTATAAATTATGTAAAGATTTAAAAAATCAGAACATAATTTTATAAAGTCAACTCACAAAGTATTAATGTTAGAGTAGCTTATTTCGATTTTTGTTTATTATGGATTTTTTGAGTTTGCGATGGATTTGAACGATTTATGGTTATTTTGCTCAAAATGACGTTATTTTAAGTGAAATAGTTCATTAGAAAAACACAGAACAATAGTTAATTGGCCGCCTAGAACATCAATTACGATGAAATTCTAGGCGATCGATCGGCGTCTAGGCGTGATTTTTTGCAACATTGTATTTTAGTGACTTGGATGCAAAATAATAATAATAATAATAATATTGTTGTTGTTGTTGTTGTTAAAAGCCAATCTTCGTCTTCATCCTAGGCCATACAAGAACTGCAAAATGTTATGGAACAGATACTAACAGCTTTACAGCTTACACGGTTCAATTATTAGCTTAGTGACAAATTTATCGACCTAAGGTACTAATTTTAGTATGTAATAATAAGGTAATAAGATAATAAATAACTTGGAAGCAGTTATAATATTATTTTTACGAGTGTTTGGGGAGCTTGAGTACAAAATAGCGTAATTGTAGCTAAGTTTGCTAAAATTCAAATTCTTGTAACAATTGCTTAAACAACATGATTAGTACAACATATAATGATTTTAAGCTTTTTTTTTTTTTTTTTTTTTTTTTTTTTTTTTTTTTTGTATTACTGACTCTATTGCAATGTAATATATGTCCATAACTTGTGACTTTCAATTTAAGAAATCTACAAAAAGGGTCGTTGGGTTATAAGTTAATTGGTACTAATATCAAAAGTTTAAATACCAACAAGCTATGTTAATTTTATTATTATTATTATTATTATTTTTTTTTATTATTTTTTTTTTTTGGAATTAAAGGAAAGAACAGGTCATTATTCCTTAGTCCTTACCCTTTGTATAATGCATGATTTGTGTCATTATTTTTCGTACTTAATTTTTTGATAACATTATTTATTGGCATAACTTAGTTGGTTCTCAATTAATAAATAAAAAAAAGTATAACTGATGTGGCTATAATAATATTTTGTCAAGTCCAAATAAGTGATGGGGTTATAACATTTTTTTTTTCAAGTTCAATAAGATAAAGATTATGGCGAATGACAATAAACTCAAATCAACATTATGATGTAGTTCTAAGAAACATTTGAAGATATAATTCCTTTAAAGAAGCATGTTGTAACTCTTGTTCAAAAAAGTCATTACATAACAAAATAAACAATTACTCAATACAAAATAAAGAAGTGTGTTGTAACTAATGTCAAAACTTTTTCTTCAAAATTTGTTATGTGTATCAATAGCTCAAGTTAATCGTTTAATGTCGTGTGGGTTCATCTAATTGTATAAATTGACATTCCACCTTTTAATTGGGAGTTACAAAGTTCAAATTATGAATATATAGAATTAATTTCACTTTTGGTCCCACGACTTTTAATGTTCTATCACTTTTGGTGCACAACTTTAAAATTTTTTAATTTTGGTGCATAACTTTGTTATTTTTATCAATTTTGGTATTTTCGGCCAAATTGACAGCGAAATGTTGTTGGATTTTATATTGTTAGGGGTAAAATCGTCATCCCAAGGAAACATCTTCAATATCTAAACAAAATCACCGTAAAATCATATCTATAGGTGTTTGATGATGAGAATAATGGGGAAGATGGGCAGAAACCAAACAGATCTATGGGATTTATAGTTTCGACCATTGACAAACTCTTCTTTTCCTCTTAATATGATTTTTCTTTTGTTTAAATATTGAAGATCTTTCCATGGGATGACGATTTTGCCCCTAAAATATAAAAATCTGGAAATATTTTATTGTCAATTTGGCTAGAAGGACCTAAACTGATAAAAATAACAAAGATAGGCACCAAAATTGAAAAAATTTAAAGTTGTGCACCAAAAGTGATAAGAACTCAAAAGTCATGGGACCAAAAGTGAAATTAATTCTGAATATATAATACTCCTTAGCATCCTTTACAAGGCTCAAGCAATTTAATACAAAAAAAATAAAATAAAAATTGCTTTGTTCCCTTTATCATTTACCATTAAATTAGTTCATATTTAAGAATGTAACATTTATTAAAGGGAAAAGTGCATTTTTCGTCCCTAAGTTATAGGGTAATTGTAGGATTCGTCCCTAAGTGTTGTAAATACCCACTTTTCATCCCTAAGTTATAAGCTATGATGCAATTTTCGTCCTTTTTCTAACAGAGGTGTTAAGTGACTGTTTAATGTAAGGGTAATTCTGTCCAAACACATTTAGGCTCATTATTAATTTAATATTTCCCTAATTATACTCTTGCGTAGGTTTTCAACACTGACTCTTCCACTTCACAGTTCACGCTACTATTTTTTCATATTTCAAACACACAAAATTGATGGTCAAGAGATGAAGCATTCTAAAAATTTCTCGATGATTAATCGGCGATTACTTGGCTGGAAGGGAACTCTACCGTGTAAGTTCTTCCCCTTTGTTAATTTTCGAAGGTTTAAGCAATTCAATTTCTCGTTAATTTTGCAAGGCATATTTTTCTTTAATTTCGTTATTTTGTTTTAATGTTTAGGGCTTAGTTTTTGTTTGTTTGCTTGTTGGGTTAAATGTTAGTTCATGTTACTCCATATTTGTTTAATTGTTTTGCATTTAGATTCTAAATATTTTACAAATTAGTTTATATAATTGAAAAATTTGTGTATTTGTTTAATTGATTGTTGGGTAAAATATTAGTTCTTGTTATTTGTTTAATAGTTTCATGTTTAGGGTTTTGAAATTTTTATGAATTAGTTTATGTAATCAAAAAAATATTGGATCCACGTATGAATAAAACCAGAATAGTATATTTGTTATTCTTTGTTTGTCTTCATTATTTAATGTTGATTAGTGTTGTACTTGTTTAATTGTAAAATATATTTTGGTTTGTTTGTTTTTTTTTTTTTTAACCGAGTCTTTTGGTTTGTTAGATTCACATGAAGGACATAGTGGTGAAGGGGGTAACTGTAATTCTGAGAATGAAAAATCAACATCATTAGATGGTGAATTTGATGATTCTCAGTTTTCAAGTGAAGATGAACATGGTAATGTTGCTGATAGTGCAGCTACAAATGTTGTAGAGGAATTTGGTAGTTCAATTGCCCAAATAAATGAAGTAGATTGTGTTGATTCTGAAGATGAATTAAGGAGTATTAGTTCAAATTCTGATGTGGAGGAAGGGAGTAATTCTAGTTTAGTTTTTAGTGAATCAAAATTCAACTTGGAGGATTTTCAATTTCAAGAATGAATGATTTTTAAAGATAACAAGGAGTTTAAGTGGGCAGTTGAAAGGTATGAAGCATTGAGAAAAAAGGATGTCTACTTTGTGAAGAATGAGCCTAGGAGAGTTAGAGCAAAGTGTAGGGATGTAAATTGTGACTGGGTTATATTTGGTTCTAGGAGCAATGAAAATTGTCCTTTTACCATTAAAACATATAGGTTCAATCATAGTTGTGGTGAACAACATGACAATCAACTGATTAAATCTGGATTTCTTGCCAAATATTATAAGGATGAATTCAAATTAAATGAGGAATGGGGCAGAGTTCAATTCCAAAGGCATGTGAAGAAAAAGTTTAGATGCAATATTTCAAAATTTCAGTCATTTAGGGCCAAGCAAAAGGCAAAGTTGCTAGTAACTGGTTCTCAAAATCATCAGTATAATTTGTTGTCGGATTATTGTGAAGAACTTAAGAAAACTAACCCTGGCACTACTGTGAAGTTAATTTTGGACAACACTTATTCAATGGAGGGTAGGAGTAGATTCAAGAGGCTGTATATATGTTATGGTGCATGTAAAGAAGGGTTTTTAAATGGATGTAGGCCCTTAATTGGTGTAGATGGATGCCATTTGAAGGGAAATCAAAAGGGAGGACAATTATTAAGTGCAGTTGGAGTAGATGCTAATAACAACATGTACCCAATTGCATTTGCTGTGGTTGAAGGTGAGTTAAACGAAACTTGGAAGTGGTTTCTTGAGTTATTAGATGGTGATCTTCATATTTCTCAAAACCCCATTGGATGGACCTTTATTTCTGATAAACAAAAGGGATTAGTACCTACTTTTGAAGAGTTATTTCCATATATAGAACATAGGCATTGTGTGAGGCATCTCCATGCTAATTTCAGCAAGGATGGATATGGTGGTCAAGTCATGAAGCAGAATTTTTGGGTTGCTTGTAGATCAACTACAGAAAGTGAATTTCAAAAGCACTTGGAAGGTTTGAGATTATTAAATCCAAAAGCTGCCCAATGGATATTAGATAGGGAACCAAGACACTTTTGCAGGGCATATTTTTCTGATTATCTAAAGTCTGACATGCTGCTGAATAATTTGTGTGAGTCATTTAACAGCTCCATTCGTCATGCAAGGGATAAGTACATACTAACAATGTGTGAGAGCTTGAGAATTTACCTAATGTCTAGGATGCAGAAGAACAGAGACAAAATGAAGGGAAGTGTAATGAAAATATGCCATAAAATCATAAAAATTCTTGAACAAAACAAGGCACACACTGGTGATTTGATAGCATACAAAGCAAATGATGACAACTACCAAGTTGAAGACATTTCTGGCTTTTTTAAGACTTACAAGGTAAATTTGAATCAAAGATGTTGCAGTTGTAGGAGGTGGGATCTTAATGGAATCCCTTGTAGTCATGCCATTGCAGCAATTAGAACAAAAGGGGAAGTACCTGAAGATTATGTCCATCATTGCTATACTGTGGAAGCATATATGAGGAGTTATAAACCAGCAATAATGCCAATTCATCCCTCAGATTTATGGACAAAAACTGGCCAAAAACCACCACTACCACCCAAGTATAAAGTGCAACCAGGCAGACCAAAAAAACTAAGGAAGAGAGATCCTATTGAGAATGAATCTGTTGTGGGTGATAAACTAATTAGCAAGTTATCAAGAAAGGGTGAGAAAAAGAAGTGTTCAATTTGTGGACAATATGGCCATAACAAGCGTAGCTGCAAAAACCAGGTAATTACACTTGTATTTGTCTTTACATTATGTTTTCTATATCGACAATTTCATTATCATTTATTACACTTTCTCAATAGAGGCAAAATGATGTTGAACCCCCTGCCGAAGTTGAAGTTGAACACCCTGTTGCTACTGAAGTTGAAGTTGAACACCCTGTGGCTAATATAGCTGCTGAAGTTGAACCACTTGCTGTTGAAGTTGCTAATGTTTAAGTCCAGCCCCCTAGTGCTGTTGCATGGTTTGTTCCAAATGATAATGTCATTGAAATGATAATCTCTAATGCTTTGCAGGATGAATTGGTTGGTCAATACTCTTAAATTTTTCTTTTTCTTTAAAGATAATATGTAAATTTGCAAAAACTTTGATTTTCAATGCACTACAATTATCTAATTCTTTGTTTGCAGAACATAACTCCTTGGTCCCCAATGCACACAGATACATAGAGAAACAACTCCATCACAGACAGTTGGAAAGTCACCAAGAAAAAGAAAATTGAGTCAAGGTTATGCACCAAGAAAGACCAAACAACATAAATGAAGATGATGCTTTATAGCATCAATTAGTATGTAGGTTTAGAAGGCTTTTTGAATGCTGCTTAGATCTTGAATTTTTTATTTTTATTTTTTGTAATGCAACCAATATTTAATACAAGCTAAGTAGTTAATAGGTAAGTTCTGGAATGATTTTTGTGAATCACTTTAATTTTGAAAGTCTTTTGTGTTGAAAACTACCAACATTTCAATATATTGAAAGAAATCAATATTATATTTATTGAAAGTCTTGAGTGTTGTTTTAAAATTTTTGTGTACTTACTAGCCGGAGCATCTCAAAAACAATTTTTAACATCATAAATTTTGCATGTTTAAAATATGAAAAAATGATAAAAGAAATGACCCAGTCTACGCAAGAGTACAAGAGTATAATTAGGGAAAGAGTATAATTAGGGAAATATTAAATTAATAATGAGCCTAAATGTGTTTGGACAGAATTACCCTTACATTAAACAGTCACTTAACACCTCTGTTAGAAAAAGGACGAAAATTGCATCATAGCTTATAACTTAGGGATGAAAAGTGGGTATTTACAACACTTAGGGACGAATCCTACCATTACCCTATAACTTAGGGACGAAAAATGCACTTTTCCCTTTATTAAAATATATTATCCCGCCAAGCACTTTGTGCTGAGATCAAGTCTTAGTGGAGGAAAGAGTCAATAGTATTTAAAAAAAAAAAAACTACATAGACTAAAAGAATGCTTTTGAAGAGAACACTTGTGAAAAATGCATTTGACATTTTCTAAAAATATTTTTTTTTTCTAATTTTATCTAATTTTTAGAAACATCTTATTTTTGTATGGAGTTCTACTACATAGACTCACAAATCATATTCTCTAAATTTTGCTCCCTGATGTGACAGGCACGTATATTTATATATATATTTTTAATGTGCGTCTCAATACAAGCGTCTACATCAATATTTTATGTGTGGAAGTAAAAGTTTGAAATATAAAGTGAAAGTACATGTAGTATTTTGACTATTTTCCTTTTGTATGCCTAATTCCATTTTATTTTGGCTCTGTTTGGCAGAGCTTATAGCTTATATTAAGCTATTAATAATCTATAAGCTCTGTTTGGTAATGTTCATAAAATAAGCTCCTAGCTTAAAATAAGAGCTTATTTTGGAACGCTACTTTAGGTAGCGTTTCAAAATAAGCTTCTAGCTTCATAACTTTTTTTCCATCCTTATCCTTGTTGTTTTAAAGAAATAACATAATTTACCTCTGCCAATTAAAACTATTTTCTTCTCTTTTATCCGCAACTTTCACCACAAATAATAATAATAATAATAATAATAATAATAATAATAATAATAATAATATTATTATTATTATTATTATTATGAGATTTGCAACAGTATTGGTACTTCATTATGAGATGCTAAATCATGATTATGTTAATAGTTTTATTTCAAAATGTTATTTTTTTTAAAAGACAAAATGTTAAATTCTAATATGTAAACAAACTAATTTAAATTTTATGAATATGTCTTTTTTAGTCTTTTTTACATTTATCAGCTTATCAAAAAGTTAATTTTACCAAACATTTTCAATCAAACAGCTAGTTTAACATCTTTTCAGTTTTTAGCTCCGAGCTTATGACTTTTCAACTTTCAACTCCTAGCTTATAGCTTTTCAATTATGTTTACCAAATACATCCTTTGTCTTATTTCAATTAAAATCCCCAAAATTGTGCGCATGCAAAACAGCTCACGTCAACCAAGACGGCGACGTTACAGTCCTCTAGGGGCTAGGGCCAGGGTACTAAACGACGTCGTTGAGAATAAGTCCAGCTTTATTGACTCAAGTCGGAGCACAGTGGTACAAACATAACTTCCATTCTTCTCCCATAGTATCGTAACTTGTAAGCTCTGCGTTTCGTTTCTCGTTCGGACAGAAATCTCAGCAGAAAGATGGGAAGCCCCGCCCCCGCTGTTGAAGAAGAAACGCCCCCGGCAATCAAAGCTCTCGGCTCTCTCTTCAAGCTCACCGAAATTTATCTCTCGTACGTTTAATCGAAAATTTTGGCGATATAAGCATGTTAATTTTGATTTTTTTCTTAAATTCGTCGGAATAATACCTAAGTATTTACGGTTACAGGGATGATACTTCGTATGAAGCTCAACGATGCTTGGCTTCTACGGAAGCTACGGTGAGCTATGCTAAGTTTACGTTTCTTATATTATTTCTATTGGATTTGGTTAGAGCTGATTTGGTGGTCGCAGTGAGAGTAAATATTGAGATTTAGTTGTTTGATTTTATTTCGTTTATTTTTTCTGCGTAGAGAGCCATCCATGAAGATGCTGTTGATTCAAATATTAATTCGGAATTTGATTTCTTACCAGAAGATATGGAGCTTGCCAAACTGATGAGTGGAATGGGGCTCCCTATGTCATTCCACACCAAGCAGGTATCATGTTAAAAAATTGTTTTCGCATATGCATTTTTTTTCTTTTTGACAGTAAGGTCGAAGATGATGCTCGGTTTACAAAGTTGTAGCTTATGATGAGACTTGTTAGCCTGACATTGGTTTAATGTTTACTGTATCCTGTTTTAGGAATGGTGAAAAATGCGAGTGAATTTGAAGTTAAGACTTAAGAGCATTGTTATTTTACTTCGCGAATTATTTGTGTTGTGCCAGTGCATATGACCTGCATAGATTGAACTCCTAGGGAACTTATAGTGGATAATCTATTTTATGAAATTTTTTTGAAACATGATGCCAGTCCTAAAAAAATTTATTGGATAAATGCACTTTTTCAAATTGATCTCATTTCTTTTGACACTTCTCTTTGTGTTTTCACCCCCTTGTGAGTAGCGGATATGGTGGATTGCAGTAGTCTAGATATTAAGGCTATTCATTTATATACCTAGATTTTATTTTTAATTCATCTGGTGATTTGATTATTTTTGTTTCCATAGAGGAATGAAACACCTGGAGGAAAGAGAAAGCAAAAGAAGAAGCATACAATTCCCACTCAAGATGGTTTGCAAGAGCCTATAGAAGAAATGGTGGGTGGGTATGCATCTTCTACAATTCTGCACAAAACAAGTGAATCATTGTCTTGCTTGTTAATAGGAAGAGAGAGTGAATTGTCAACCTTTGATAATGCAGCTAGTGTTGATGAGGTTTGTCATATCCCTGCTAGAGTGAAAGATTCAATCAGCTCAACTTCGTCTAGTGCTAAATCTACAATTTATGAATTTATTCCCAGTGATCTTGGGCAGGACCAAGAATTAAATTCCAAGTCTACATGTCATGATATTTTACTAAGTGAAGACGTTGGAGTTATGGAGCACTTATCTTTAGATGGGATAGTTGGTGCTGTATGTGATAGCAAGGACCTAACAGGAGACCCCATGGAGTCTATTTGTGTGGAGTCCACCTTAGCAGTTAACCATGATGGTAGAAGTGGTTTTGGTGATTGGAAGGTGTATTGGGACAACTTTTACTCGAGGAACTACTTTTATAATCTTATTTCACAAGAATGTACATGGGACCCACCTCCAGGAATGGAAGAGTTAGTGTTTATTAATATCAAAGACAAGGCAACAGAACCAGAGAATGATATAGCTAACATGGATGTCACTCTTGCTGGTTTTGAAGAACCTGCTGATCAGCTTCTTTCTTGTGCTGCACAACCTACCCTTGACTTATCAAAAGAACACAAAGGGGATATTGGATTGTTAGATCAACAGCTGCATGACTCATTTGGAGATAAATTTGAATGTACATGGGACCCGCCTCCAGAAATAGAAGAGCTAGTGTTTATTAATATTGCAGATAAGGCAACAGAGCCAGAGAATGATATAGCTAACTTGGATGTGACTCTTGCTGGTTTTGAAGAATCTGCTGATCAGTTTCTTTCTTGTGGTGCACAACCTACTCTTGACTTATTAGAAGAACACAAAGGGGATATTGCATTGTTAGATCAACAGCTTCATGATTCAATTGGAGATGAAGTTGAATGTACATGGGACCCAAATCCAGAAATAGAAGAGCTAGCGTTTATTAATATCACAGATAAGGCGACAGAGCCAGAGAATGATATTGCTAACTTGGATGTCACCCTTTATGGTTTTGAAGAATCTGCTGATCAGCTTCTTTCTTGTGGTACACAACCTAGTCTTGACTTATCAGAAGAACACAAGGGGGATATTGGATTGTTAGATCAACAGCTTCATGATTCAGTTGGAGATGAACTCGTTGCTGACATTTCCTGTCACATCAGTTCTGCAAAAAGAAAAAAGAAATCGAGGAGAGTGAAGTCCAAACAGAATTTATCCGTAGGAAGTGGAGGTATGCCAGTTGTTCAGATCTCATTTACTCTTTTACTCACTGAGTCTACAAGTAAAATGTTTTATATCTCCTTAACCTATCTTTTTCTCCAACAGAGTCTCAATTCCCGTTGATAATTGAAGGGTTTTATCCTGGTTTGAGTAAATACTGGTGTCAAAGGTATCGTTTATTTTCAAAATATGATGAAGGCATTCAAATGGATGAAGAAGGATGGTTCTCTGTTACTCCTGAGTCCATAGCGAAGCATCATGCACATCGTTGTGCAAATGGTACTTTAGTTGATTTCTTCACTGGAGTTGGTGGAAATGCAATTCAATTTGCACAAAGGTGAGCATTCTGATTTCTCTCCTTCCTATTATTTCAAGCCCTAATTTCCCTAGTGGTTAAAATTGCACCATTACATATCTCTAATGTATTAAAAAATGTAAAGACTGTTTTACTGAAATTAGAGAGTTGGTAATAATGCTGTGAGTTACACCTTTGTTGATTTTAGTAACATAGTTTCTCTCTTTCTACAATCTACATTCTGAAGTTAATTTGGACTAAATCCTGGAATTCCTGTCCATTCTGGCTAAGGCATGTTAGGCATGCTTCAGATGTCCATTATATAGTATTGATAATGCTACATATTCTTTCTAGCCATTGCTTTTGGTTTCCTTTGAAGTTTTATCACACTACGAGTCTACGACACATTATTTTGAGTAAAAATGGCATGCCAGACATTGCCGATGCTCACGCATCTTGCTTATTTTTTTATTTTCATTTTTAATTTTACCTCACAAGGACAATGATTTACATTACTTCTTTGATTTGCATATAGCAGAAAACTCTGGATATCTTTATTACTCTCTGTTTGCTGTAAAGAACTTTCAACATTTGTCTGTGACTTTCATACCCAACCCTTTTCAGGTGTAGACATGTAATTGCCATTGATATTGATCCGAATAAAATTGACTACGCACAACATAATGCAGCCATCTATGGAGTTAGTGACCAGATAGATTTCATTCGAGGAGATTCCTTGACATTGGCTCCAATGTTGAAGGTATTAATTTCTTTGTCCCATTATTCTGTGCGACTGTTTGGATGTCTTATTTGCATTAGATATTTGAAATAGATGCAGAGTTTAAATAATTGCTTATTGTATATTTGTATATGCCCTTCTGGCATGTAGGAATTGTTATTGACTTTGTGATATTCCCGGAATATCCTGCACAGCTCTTTCACCTGCTGAAGTTGGTGGTCTTAAAGGCCATGTTATAATATGTACTTGAAGAGCTATAAACCATATTTATGGCACAACTCTTCCATTTTCAAATGAATATATATTAGCTGCATTCATTCAATAAAGTTGGAGAAAAATTTATTTCTCCTCACTCGTCCTATGTTATTGAAAAATGGTGTTTGTCTCATTGCAGGTCGATGTAGTCTTCATGTCGCCACCATGGGGTGGACCTGATTATGCCAAGGTTAAGACATTTGACATCCAAACTATGCTTAAGCCACATGATGGGTATGTTTGCTTGACTTTGGCTGTATATGGCCTCTAGTCCTCTACTAACTTTGATAGTTACTTTCCTTTTCATAGTGACCATAGCATTGTGTATCTAATTTGTCTATATCTATCAGGCATTTTCTCTTCAACATTGCCACGGGAATTGCTCCTAAAGTTGTTATGTTCCTTCCTAAAAATGTTGATATCAACCAATTGGCTGAGCTTGCTTTATCCGCCAATCCACCATGGTCACTAGAGGTATTTGTCCTAAATCCTTTTTCATGGTTGCAAACTTCTATATATACAAGGGTCTCCTAGATCTTATTTTTGTATCCATCTTCACAATAATATATTCTCTGATCAAGGCGGCTGTTACTGCCTTAAAAAGAATGGTTTGAGGAGGGTTGTGACATGTGGGGTGGTTGGAACAAAAAAAGTGAATCATGAGGGGCATTGAGGGTTGGAGGTGATTTTAAATGGCTGCGAATTATTATATACTATAATGCATTTGGAAATACGGAGTAACAAAGTATCCGTCCTCCCTATATAAATTTTAACTCTACCTTGTCTGTGGTCCTAGGTGGAGAAAAATTTCTTAAATGGCAAGCTGAAAGCAATCACTGCCTACTTCATTAAATCTTCCTCATAGCAGACATGCGAGTCCGAGGTCAGCATCAAACCAAGACTTTACATGGTCCTACTGTAGTACTGCGAACATCTTTGGCTCTTCTCAAATCTCAATTCGTACATATGTATATGTATTAGCATTTATCAACATATTCTTGCACACACTTGTGTAATACGGAGTACATTAACTGTCAGTGTCAAATGGATGAACTAGCCCCTTTTGATCAATATCCACTGAGTATTTTAATTAGCGGACAAAATGTAGAATTTAACATTGTGTTTACTTTGATTCTTCATTTTCATGGAGTAAACGTATTCTGTGTTTTCTCATTTGTTATGGAGTAATTTTTTCAATTAGTATATTTTAAATATTTTCGGATAATTGCTATGTGGTGGTCTAAAAAAAAATTCTGCTTCTTTACAAGCTGCCAATATTAATAGTCATAATTAATCAGAAGATATTAATTAAGTGGGATGAATTTAAATATATGATGTGAATGAGAAAAAAAAGTCACAAGTCTCCTTTACTTTATTGAGATTATATTTGAAAAAAAGTACACTGGTAAAGCTATTTCTTTTTATTTTTCTTCATTTTGCCTTCCCAATTGAAGATTTTTTATAATTTTTTGTAATGTGAAGAAGAAAGAGGAAATTTTTTATACGAGTGTGACTTACACACAATAAGTGTGTGCCTTTCGTGTATTTAGACTCGTATTTGGTAGTTGCCAACTAATGAATGACCATCTTTTTTTTTTTTTTTTTTTTCAAAAAAAAAAACCATTAATCCCGCTCAAATTACGAAATATTTGAAATCCCCAACTAATTAATATAATGTTATTTTAAAATCATTGCTGACAGGGCACGTTATGTGATGCGCCAGCCCACTCTTACGTTATGGTAAGTGGGATGGGCCCACAAGTCACAAGACGTAAAGCCTTCGCAAGTCAGAAGTATCCGTTGGTAGGAGAAAATGAAATTTGTGCCCTTCCAAAGCAAAAAACGTAACCCAAAAGCTAATGGTATTCTTGAAAATACTAGCAAAAGGAAGACCTATTTCGCTACCAAATTTAAAATTTGAACCTGCCGGCTAGATCTAACCAAGGTTAGTTGAGGCCCAATTATCCGGGTTATCTAGTGGAGTAATATTAGCTGTCACCGCGGTTAACTAACCATGGTCAATCGCCTGCAGCGAGCGGGGACGGATCATTTCTCTGTTGTATATAAACCCTTGAGAGCCCGTTTGAGGAAGCACATCTGAACTCTGAAAGGCGTCTTGATAAACGCCATTCATTTGCTCTTTTGCTTTCTCCTCCCCTCCTTCCTCTCCAAATCTTAGGGTTTCGAATCGTCTCTTTTTGTAGCGAAAATGAGAGAGTGCATCTCAATCCACATCGGTCAGGCCGGTATCCAGGTCGGAAATGCTTGCTGGGAGCTTTACTGCCTCGAGCACGGCATTCAGGTATATACTCATTTTAGTCATTTCCCTTGTATCTTCGCGGATCTCTTTACCCGTATAGATCTGTGTGAGTTTCTAGTTTGCATGCGCGATCTTCGTCTAGTTGTGCATTGATATCTGTCTCATTTCGTAGATCTACATGAATCTCTTGCAGTTTTGATATCTCTAAATGTATTCGTTTATGTTATGAATCTATACATGGATAGATCTGAGTAGTTCCTTTATCATTTCAATAGATTGATTAGAACCGCGTGGTTATATATTTATTTGTGTTTAGACTATAAGATGCTTTGTTTTTTACTGAATGATATTTGTGATTTCTGTGATACACTTTACCTTTACTTTGTAGTTTATATTGTATTTAAATGAAACTTTTACAGCTTAAATATTTGCTTTGCTCTGTGTGTATATAAACCATATATATATATATATATATATATATATATATATATATATATATATATATATATATATATATATATGAATGAATGAATACACCTAGGTTATTCTATGCCCTTAGATTCATAGGATTGAATTTTGGGCCGTTTGTTTTTGCCTATATTTACACTTTGATCATGTATATGGTTCTAAAATCAGTTGTCCTTTGTTTTGTCTGCACCAGCCTGATGGCCAGATGCCTGGTGACAAGACAACTGGAGGTGGTGATGATGCATTCAACACCTTCTTCAGCGAAACAGGAGCTGGGAAGCATGTTCCCCGTGCTGTCTTTGTAGATCTTGAGCCAACTGTCATTGATGAAGTCAGGACTGGAACATACAGACAGCTCTTTCACCCTGAGCAGCTTATCAGTGGCAAGGAAGATGCTGCCAACAACTTTGCCCGTGGCCATTATACCAGTAATTACCACCACTTGTTTCTCTTCTGCTTAGTGTTGTATGTAAATGTTTTGGGCTCTAATAGCTTGTCTATTTGTTGTGTACAGTTGGGAAAGAGATTGTAGATCTCTGCTTGGATCGTATTCGTAAGCTTGCAGATAACTGCACTGGTCTTCAGGGCTTTCTGGTCTTCAATGCTGTTGGAGGTGGCACTGGTTCAGGTCTTGGATCTCTTCTGCTGGAGAGGCTCTCTGTTGACTATGGCAAGAAATCAAAGCTAGGTTTCACCATTTATCCTTCACCACAGGTCTCAACTTCTGTTGTTGAGCCTTACAACAGTGTCCTCTCGACACACTCCCTTCTTGAACACACCGATGTTGCTGTGCTTCTTGACAATGAGGCCATCTATGACATTTGCCGCCGCTCTCTTGACATTGAGCGCCCCACTTACACAAACCTCAACCGTCTGATTTCACAGGTATCTATTAGCCCCTAGTGTTTGATTATAGTTCTAATTGTATTGATTGTATATATTGAACTGGCTCTAACAATTACTGTTTGTGTGTTGCAGGTGATTTCTTCACTTACTGCATCTCTGAGATTTGATGGAGCCTTGAATGTTGATGTGAATGAGTTCCAAACCAACTTGGTGCCTTACCCAAGGATCCATTTCATGCTTTCCTCCTATGCTCCAGTTATTTCAGCTGAGAAAGCCTACCATGAGCAACTCTCTGTTGCAGAGATCACCAACAGTGCCTTTGAGCCATCATCCATGATGGTCAAGTGTGATCCTCGCCACGGGAAGTACATGGCTTGCTGCCTTATGTTCCGTGGTGATGTTGTGCCAAAGGATGTGAACGCTGCAGTGGCCACCATCAAGACCAAACGAACCATCCAATTTGTGGACTGGTGCCCTACTGGATTCAAGTGCGGTATCAACTACCAGCCACCCACTGTTGTTCCTGGAGGTGACCTTGCCAAGGTGCAGAGGGCTGTGTGCATGATCTCCAACTCCACCAGCGTCGCTGAGGTGTTCTCGCGCATTGACCACAAGTTCGACCTCATGTACTGCAAGCGTGCATTCGTCCACTGGTATGTCGGTGAGGGTATGGAGGAAGGTGAATTCAGTGAGGCTCGTGAGGATCTTGCTGCCCTGGAGAAGGATTATGAGGAAGTTGGCGCTGAGTTGGATGAGGGCGAGGACGGAGATGATGGAGAGGAGTATTAGAGTGTGCTTTGCAGCAGCCAGCTTTGTCTGCTTGCTTTTGTTTGTTTCATTAAATATCAAACTTGCTTCTGGGTATTAATGTTTTTCATGACTTTATGAAACCTTTGCCATTTAATGTTACTTCTGAAGCCTAGCGTGCTTTTTCAATTTACAGTCAATCTTGGAGAAAAATGTTTACTATACTTTCAAAATTCAATGCAACATAACTAAAAAATAACAACAATGTATTTCAAAAAAATTGATAACAGCAACATACATGCAATTATGACACAATCTTATACGGGCCTAGGGCGTTAGGAAGACAAAAATGTGATTTCGTCAAAGTTGTGAAAGCAGCCAGACTGGCACTCTGGCCGCACACTGTTACTTTGACAGAAGTTCGAACACGAAAATAGATTCCTCACTGGCAGACACTTTTTTAACATGAAAATAGTTTCCTCAAAACATGAAAATAGTTAATGACAGGAAAAATTTAAACCCGCTGGTAAAAAAAGACCAATAACTTGAACAGTTGGTCATATATATATATATATATATATTGTTTTTTACCCTACTGTTACAGTTGGTCAAAAATACAAACGCGATCATGATTGGGACATCTTCTCCTCCCTGTCATTATTATTGTCATTGTCCTTGCTGTCAAAATCTTCTATTTTAAAATCCTTGAGGTACGGAGGAAGGAGCTCGCAATTAAGAGGCCATTACTCCGCACTCCCACCCCAACAACAAATGACCACTCTACTCTTCACTCTTCACCTTCTCTTTACGCGCCATGACGACTTAGGAAGGAGGAGGAAGCTAAGCGAATGAATGCGAAGCCATTTCGAAACATGTCGGAGCTAGGTATTCACGATCCGACGAGACACGGCTTCGGAGCCAGAGATATCAGCCCGGATTCCGTCATCTTCGCCGCCGATTCCAACTTCAGTCTCTACTCCTCTGCTTCCGGCAGTGTGGATCGTTGCTCTTTCTCTTCCGACGCACACCACCGAGAATGCTCCTTCCGCACTGCCTCTCGAACTGTAATCTCTCTCTCTGCTCATTTACCTTTCGCAGAGTATTGATTTATAATATGATTATTATATATCTATCTATGTGTATGCACTGCATGTTCTCTTTCTGTGTATTGAATTGTGTACACATCTGCAACTTTTGTCGTCAATGCGAATGACAAGTGTTGAACCGAAATACACAATAAACGAGCTTGCGTTTCATCCTAACAGCCTAAAGCTGTCTGTATATCAGTATATGCATGCCAATATTTACACGAGGGAGAACATGATTGCAATAATATGAACAATACACGAGCGGAAACTTTTGAGCTATTTTATTTTCGGTGTTTCACTGTTTCTGTTGAAGTTGATACTAATTACTAGAAGGATAAGTGTAGAGAGTAATTTCTAATTCATAACCATGGAAACTTGTCTGAGTTTGAATCTTTGATTTGAACTAGCATTTGGCTGGACATGGATTTTACGGTTCTTCAGGTGGTCCGGCTTTAGATCCAATCAAACATATTGTACACAGGAATAGTCACCTTAGCAGAAAGGAAAAGTCGAAAGGTAGTCTTACCTCTCTCTTTGGTCAGCTTGCTTTCCTATTAGAATCTTGAAGAACATACACCTGTTGAATTCAATCATTTCAGTGGCTTATGAATTTTGTTTCTTCCTGTTCACGAAGCCACTATCAGCATTGCTGAGACAGAGGGTGAAGGTTTAGCTGTAGATTTGGCGTCAACCTCCTTCTCTCAAGCACTTAAAGGCAATACAGCTTAATACACTTTTTAGTACCAAAATATTACTTGATTTCTGCTGGCTCTGCGCTTTACTTTTTGTTTTTATTTTGTTAGAATGTCAAGATAGGCGGTTGAGATCTGAACTGAAGACATTAGATAGGCAAAGACCTGCTTCACTAGATATGAAACATGCTGCAAACTCATCATCGCCTCGGTATGGACTCATGAAGAAACCATCTGTTAGTACTCGGCAAGCTAGTGCATTTTCGAGTCCTGAAACTCCGAATTACTGCCATTCCAGTGTGGGGGCTCAGAAAGACAGGAGTTCAGTGCAAGGGCCATTGCATACAAGTGCTAACAGGAGACAAGTGAATACAACATTTCTGCCTTTTAATACTGGAAGGGCCTTACCTTTCAAGTGGGTTGATGCTGAGAGGTGGATCTTTAGTCCAGTATCGAGGGATGGTGCTATTAGGACTTCATTGCAGCAGCCACAAATGCGGCCTAAATCCAAGAGTGGACCTCTTGGGCCTCCTGGGTCTGCTTTATATTCTCCAATAGTGCCTGTGTCTAAAGGAGGAAATGATTTTTATTTACAAGCTAGTTCTCCTTTTTCAACTCGAGTGATGTCTGCAGATGGTTTATCGGTTCAATATGGGGGCCATGAAATTCGTGGAAAGTTAGCTGCATGCTGTGACCTATGCATGACAAGGTCAATTAGTGTCCATGGATCTTCTGAAAATTTTTGCTTATCCTCATTTCCTGCTCCCCAAGGTACAGGTTTTATGTTGTAGTTGCTGCCTGAGTCTTTGCTGAATTTAATTAAAAATTGGCATTTATTTGAAATTTAGTATGGCTCCTTATTTGTTTCCCATGCTGCTCCACTTTTGTAATGCTGTCAAGAAACTTAGTGCATTCTTTGTTATAGTTGGCTAGTTGTTTCTAAAGCTAATCAAAAGCTAAGGAAAGAAGAAAAGTGAAAATATTTGATTTACTCTTTTGTACACTGTAAATATCTTAACCTTCTTGCTTCTTGCTTCTTGCTGAATATGTCATTGATCTACGGTTGATTCAATTATTTACTAAGGAAATATCTAGTGATTTCTTATTTTTCTTTTTCTATATATGGGGCATTTTAGCTGTCTCCACTTCATTTGACCTTTAGACACTTAGAAAGATGGAATGCAAGTTATATTTTGATATTGTTCAGCTTTCTTTGTTTTTGGCTTTTGGATGTATAGGTGAGAGTGACTGTGCTAAAGGTGTGGATGCCAATATTCCTCATGTTGTTTCAAGGAAGGATATGGCAACTCAAATGAGACCCAAGGCTAGTCCCCAATCATCTCCAATGAGATCCTCATCATCCCCTACTGAACGACCATCTATCCAACCAATTATGGAAGTGCAGAGTGTCCTTTCCTCAAAAGCAGATATCAGGAATGTTCTAGTTGATGAGCAGGTCACTCTAACAAGGTGGAGAAAGAAACAGAAGGTTCGGATTCCACGGGGGAGTTTGGACATTGTTGATTATCGGAAAAGCAAACATGTAGGAACGCATTCTGGTGCCAGGGAAGTTTTAGAAACAGCACATTCTTTATCCAAGTAAGTGTATGATCAACTTTCCTTTAATTTGTTAAGTTGTAGCCACCTCATTCTTGAGATGTTATCAAAAAGAGTTGAAGCTGGGAACCTCAAGAAGTAAAAATAAGTAGTTACTCTGACAATGATCATTTAGTCTTGTCTATCCCAATATTGGCGTACATTTGCATCTCACATTTTGATACATTATCTCCTGGTTGCTTTTTTTCTTCTTTTTATATTCTGTCCCTTTATATTTGAGGGTTGTTTTGTTTTGCATTATTACATGCATATTGGAGGTTATTTTCTTTTGATTGATCAGGTGTAAATTCTTACTGATTATATGCATGTAATTGTCTGTTTCTTTTGCATTGAATATATTCCAGAGTCAAGAAGGAAGAAGCCAGAATAACTGCCTGGGAGAACTTGCAAACGGCAAAAGCTGAGGCAGAGATTCAAAAACTTGAGGTTATTCCAACCATCTTTTTCATGAAAAAGAGTGATATTCCATCTAAATTTTTCATTCACCAAAGTTATGGTTTCTCTTTTGAACACAAATGTATGCTTAACTGTATTACGGAGTAATAAATATTTTCTTAAAAGATTTTAGAACCTTAGGTTAGACCTCTTTAACTTTGTTTAGTAGAACATACTACTTCCTCTTTGAGGGATAACTTTTTTTTGTTTTTTGATAAAGTGGGAGAAAAAAAACTTAGAAATTACATAAAGCAATTTGCAGCCCAGATCACTTAGAGTTAGGCATTTTAAAGGAAATTCATTTCATCACTTTTTTCAGTTTTTGTCTACCAACATGTTGACACTTCTATCTGAATCTCTTATTAAGTAATACTAATCTTGAATTTCATGTAAGTGGAATTTTATATGCCCATAAAGTTAACTAACATTATAAGTATTATTCAGATGAAACTGCAGAAGAAAAGATCATCATCCATGGATAAGATTATGAACAAATTAAGATCTGCACAGAAAAAGGCACAAGAAATGAGAAGCACAGCATTAGCAAGACAGAGTCATGACGTCGTAAGAATCTCCCACAGAGCCTTATTCTTTCGCCAGACTCATCATATGGGTTCATTTAGTGGCTGCTTTACATGCCATGAATTTTAATTACATATTCTGAGACTATCCTTGGATTCGTGTAGCCTCAGTTGGCAGGTAACTTCTTTACAATATTGAATATTCTTATCCTGTTTGTTGTTTTCTTTTTTAAACTCTTATAAAGGGCTTAACTTTGCTCATGTATTGATCATTTCGAATAAACTACTGAAAACTGAAAACTTTTGTCTTTTCATAATCGTCTATGGTGGGGAAGAAATGAACTATTCGCTGTAGCACAAGTTACTTATAAAACCTGGGAATATATGTTATATATATATATATATTGTTAGCATTTCACCCAGACAGAAAAGTGAAACGACCTAACAACACGAGGTAAAGCTATTTCATGCATTTTTAGCTGACAGTGAATGACTTGGAATCTTGTAGATCTCTCAATCACGTTTAAGACCTTGCTGTTGAACTCTTTCTGGAAACTGAAGGGATTCAAGTGGCGTTCCCAATCGGGTGAGATTAACATAATCTTCAGGGCCGTGATCTGATATTCCTGGAATCAATAATCCTGCCATCCTACCTAGTGTTAAAACCCAACCCTCTCTATAATCTCCACCATTTATCCATGGAAGCATGAACCCCCTCATCAACTCAAAACCTGCATTCATCATCTTCGGCATCACCCACAGCAGTGAGAAGTAGTTCTTGTTCGGTTCTTCCTCAAGAACCTGCATTAATATTCCCAGCACCAACATTCTCTTCATCAGAAATCAATCACTCATAAACACAAAACAACCAAAATACTTGTGTTGGAAAAAGTGCTTGTATTCTGTAATACATTTGAGATACAACAAAAATACAGAAGACAACAGGGAACAAAAACTGGATCATTTGATATCTTCAGGCGTGTAATCACTTTCCTATAAGCTTTAAATCTCCCTCTATAAAAGCAACAAGTGATTACACGCTTGAAGATATCAAATGATCCAATTTTTGTTCCCTATTGTCTTCTGTATTTTTGTTGTATCTCAAATGTATTATATAATACAAGCATTTTTTTCAACAACTTGGAGATCAGATTGAGTGTGGGTTACCTGGCCACTGTAGAGGCTATTGAAGTAAATGCAGGAGCCAAAGTGCTTGAAGAAGTAAGTCTTGTCATCATATGGCAACCTGGGAACCATGTCATTAGCATAAACATACCTCAAATATTTCACCCTATATTTCTTCAGCTTCTCCACCATATAATCACCAAACTCCACATCTCCCACCCTTGGCTGCCCAAAAGTGTAAACCCCTTCCATCTTCCCCAACAGCTCTTCCTCCTCCTGTATAATCAGCACAGCCGCAAACAAAATTGCCAGTGCCCCTCCTAAACTGTGCCCTGTCACTACAAACTTAGCATTCTCATTAGACCTCAGTATTTCCCTCAGCTTCTCCCTGATCTCGTAGTAAGCAAACTGTTTCTTCCCCGGGCCTCTCTCTATCTCATTGGGCCACCCTTTGTTCTGCTGCAAGCCCAAGGCCCGCATGAATCCTGCGTGAAGCTTCCCCACTCCTTCCAGCTTGTACCATGACAGGTCCAAATCAGTCCGCCAGTCCTCCGCGTTGAACGGCTCTGTCCCCCTAAACGCCACCACCACCAGGTTTGGATCTTCGGCTTTGTCTTGGAACATTATTGCTTGTGTTGACTTATCGTCACCATAGTCTGTTAATACAATAAAATTACTAACATTTACTCCAAACTCAAATACTATTCAATTTACCCTTTCGTCTATCTTTTTGAATTACAACTTTCTTGTTAGATATGGGGAAAAGAAAAAGAAAAACAATTATTATATGCATTTTGGCTAAAAAAACTCCAAAGTATCATGCACTAATAGTGAGTAGATTCTCTCAAGAATTCATAAAAAACCATCTACCCATGCTGACAAAGTGAGAGGGATAGTGTTACCCAATATTAAAAGCCTGCATGACCAGCTCAATTGGTCACAGAGGTGAAAATTGTCACAAAAGATTAAAAGATCGAGTCTCACTAGCGACAGTATGAAAACATCCTCTCAAAATAATGAGGCTCCTTGTGCATCCCTAACCACAAATTGTGGGCGTTCAATTTACACACTCCTTTTAACTGATGTCAATATATAATTTTTGTTTTTTTAATTATTACCCGGCACATGATGATGTCTTGAATAATAATAGTGGGTCTTATTGAGGGGGGGGATTGGATAAATGTAAATCATTAATCAAGAGATTACAGATCAAGACTACTGGCCAAGTGAACATAATGGAGTAGGTATAAGTAGCTGGAAGCATGCAATATGTGACGGTGATTTTTTGCCAGCACATTCTCACATGGATTCAAATATAGTATAATTACCACTAGCTAGTGATAATGCAACATTAGTCCTGAATCTCATCATCTACCCACAAAAAAGAAGATAACCTTATCTTTACAATGTTTTTAAAACAACACACTTTTAGTTTGACCTCTCAATGGTATAAATTTAAGTCATTAATTAATTCATAGTGTGGTGCGATGCATAATTAGTTTTTTAAATTCTTAGTAAAATAACAAATTTTATCGTTGGAATTTTTTATTTTTCTTTAAAGGGAAACCAAACAAAAAAGTTTATTTATTTTTCAGATCTCGTGCTATCGGTTCAATCAGAAGAGTGTTAGCAAAAATTAAACTTGTGATCTTTAGGTAGAAGAACCATACTCTACCCACTTACATTTGACTACCCATTTTGAGTTATGTAAGGTTATTATTATTATATCGTTACCAGAATATATATATATATATATATATATATATATATATATATATATATATATATATATATATATAAAAGTGTTGGTTGTCACTCGTCAGATTCATATTTTAGAATTTTTTTCCTTTTTTAATGGCTAACGTTGTTCACTACCTTACTTAATGGTTCAACTGTCAAAGGAAAAAAAATTGCACGCCACGCAAAATTATTGAAATAAATAATGTTATACAAGTAATGCAAGAGGCCAGATGAAATTTTACCGTTTTCGAAATTATAGAACTCCAAAAATTCCATCTGTTCAAATGAAAAAAAAAATTAATTAAAATATAAATAATAAGAGGGAGTATTATGTGAGGCGTCTCACGTTAAATGTATAATAATATATTTTAGTTAAAATATAATCATATTATGTAAGGGAGTAGAACATGACGAACTTGACTAAGAATCAAACTCATTATCTTTAAATATGTTCCGTACAACCGATCATTCCTTTCGAGACATATTATACCATGGACCATGATTCATCTTGTATTTTGGATCGTGGTTGAAAATAACATTCATATTATGTGTATGTGGTGTATATGCGGTTAACTGCAGATACGTAATTTACGGTTTGTATATTATTTATTTATTTATTAATAACACGTAATATATTAGTTGCAGATATATAACATATTAAATGTAAGATGGAGCAGATCCATGGTATAACAATTGACCTTTTGGGTGATTGAGAAAATTTTAATTAAATTTGTTATGATTAATTAATTACATAGTTTGTTTTCAAAAAATTACATAGTTTGAATTATTTTAGTTACCTTCCAATTATTCGTAACAACTCTTTGGACGAAGGCTTCGTTTTCGTACGACAATTTGGCAGCCATGATAGACAAAAGCGGAGCATACCGGCTGTCGCCATTCTTGATTTTCCGATCCAAGTCAACCCTCACGTCCATGTTCGCTATGAACGAACTGAAATTTTCCGACGTCGTCTCCGGCCGCACCATCTTCCCTGCAAACCCACACCGATAATTCATCAGAAAAAAAAAAGAAAAGAAAAACTGGAAAATCAGTTCTGCATTTCTGATCATCTGGGTGCAAAACTACGTATATAAAACCTGTTAGGAAATTGATAAGGAGCCAGAAAATGCCGCCGTTGAAGGAAGGGTAATTAAGAAAGATTTCTAAGGCGGATCCAAGCGACGCCAATGGCTCTTTCAAGTAAATGAGGATTTTTTGGGCGACGACGGAGATGAAAATGAGCCACCGGCTACGGAAGCTCAGGCGGCCGCCGGGCACGGAGGAGTTAGTGTCGAAACAGTCTGTCCCTCCCAACTCCGGCGAGAACAGGATGCGGAGGCAATCGAAGAAGCTAGCTTCTTCCGGTTTCAGCTCGGCATATTCCGAGCAGAAGTCTTCGTTGCAAGCCGCCATGGAAATAATGGGTTTTGAGTTGAATTGAAATGAATATTAGAGAGACTCACTTTGGATGAGTTCTACGTCAAACTCTCCAAATTTATAGTAGTAACTTTCACTTGCCACTTGCCTTACAATTATACAATTTATTTATATATTTTAAAAAAAATGCTTCTCCACCCACCCACCCCTCTCTACTCAACATGACAATAAAACTCTGATTACTCGCTTATGAAAAGAATTGTATATTAATCATATACAAAAAAAATAATATTAAATCAACAATTCATGTACGATTAACATGTTGAACATATATAACATATAAATAATAAATGTGCAATAATCTAACCCCAACATACAACTCTAGTTGAAATAGAACAAGCATGCCATTTGATATGGTATCAAACTGATCGTACCATGTGAGTGTAACATTAAAAAGTAATCGCCCTACACATTTGAGGGGCATACTAATAAAGCATGTAATTAATATATAAATAATATATGTAAATCATTAATTTAAACTTTTATTTGAAATGAAACACATCATTTGATGATTTGGTAAACATACGACTAATACAACTACAAGGTCAAATCGACCGACTTTTGCACATTTATGCCATGCCAAAACTGTTTCAAGTAAGAGTGGAACTCGATGTTGCTGAACTGATAAAATATACTCCCCAACCTCATTTTATTTGTTTGGTTTGGTTTGATTAATGAAGTTTGATTGAAGTTATTTTTATTTTTTTTTCATAATATTAAGTTTAATATTAATATATAAAATTTATATATTTAGAAATTACATTAAAAGTACTATTAAACACAAAAGGATCATATTTAAAAATAATTAAAAATTACTAAACAAAATAAGAAATGAAGAAGGAGTTGATTTGACTAATGATGAATAGTAAACCGGACAGATAAAAATCATAAAATGAGATAGAAAGAATATATATATTATTAGTTGTGTGGTGGATGATATGATTCTCATAGATATATAAGATATTGTATACTATTCCAACATTATTGTGTTCTCTGGTAGAACAAATTAAGATGGTTGTATTTAATGGGATGAATCTTGAATTGAATAATTCTTCGACATATAAAACGTTGGAAAATTCATTAAAAATTGAATATAATTCTTCGACTTGGTCCTACGCGTCATTTGTTTGTAATATAATTTTTGGTTTTTTTTTGAGATTAATCAAACAATGAAAACTATTTAATAGTCGCACGAGCAACGCGAGGATAGATCATATCGTGGGATTTTAATTATAAAATCATATCCACACGGCTCTTCCGATCAATATTTTGATATATATATATTGACTGTGCTTTAGGTTTTAACAGTAGTCCGTGGGTACTTTTGTACTAACCGGAGGAGATAACTAACTAAACTATATAGTAACTAAAACTATGAAAGAACGTGTACAAGTTCACTTTAATACTAGCTCTAATACTATCAAATACTATTAATGAATAAAATAGATATATATAGACCATGGGATGGAACTTCAAGAATTTGACATCCAAGTCAGTGTGAAAGCCCAATGATAGGTAGGTGTGTATATGTGTAAACATTTTATTTTTTATTAGGATTACATTTTTCAATATAAGTATTACATTTGATATTGACTCGATACATCTCACGGATAAGTGTCTGTGAGACGATCTCACATATGTAAGTTTTTGTGTATATAATAGTCGGTCAGTAGGATTTTGACGAGGCTCTAGTTAACTCCGAGTACTAAAACTAACCCCTGTCTCCTCACGAAGAAGTCGTCCAGCATGTTGCCTTCTTCGTCAATGATGGATCGGAGGTGACAACAGTTGCTGGAACATTACTGAAATCCTAGTGACCGTTTACTACAAGAAGTCGTCAATAATTAGTTCTTGATATCGATGTGTTTAATTATAACTTTTTAAAGTTTAAGAGTTTAATTAACCTTTTCTCTGTAAAGTTTAGGGTGTATTTAAAAATTTTCTTAATAATTAATTTAAATGTATCACCTTTTCCCCATGGAATGTGGCGGAAAAAAAAATGGCAAAGGAGTGTTAGGTAGAGCATGCCACTAATGGCAAATTTACAAGTTAGAAAAGTTGTTGCTTTTATCATATATATATGGAAATTTAATTTTTTCCTAAAAGTTTATTAAATAAAAACAAGAAAAGTCCATACATACATACATGACAAATTATTGTGTGGACCGCGATCCACACAATAATTATTGTACATACATGCATACTAGTACTTTTCTAAGGGGTTTCCACTACTACGCCGTTACGTTTTAGCCGGCCAAGTTACTTATTGTGTGTACCCGAGTTCACTTTGCAAGGTGGACTCAGGTCTAAATATTTACAATTTACCTTTTAAAAATGAAACTGTAATTGAATTAATATGAAACTGTAGTTGTGCCGAAATGAAACTGCAGTGTATATAAAATGAAACTGAATAAGAGTTTCACATATTTGAGTGTATATTGTCCAATGAAACTGTAGTTATATCAAAATGATACTGTAGTTGTGTTATAATGAAACTATAGTATATATAAATTAAAACAGTTTCACATATTTGAGTGTATAATGTCGAATGAAACTGTAGTTATATCGAAATGAAACTGTAGTTGTATTAAAATGAAACTGCATAACAATTTCACATATTTGAGTGTATATTGTCGAATGAAACTATAGTTATATCGAAATAAAACTGTAGTTGTATTGTAATAAAACTGTAGTGTATATAAAATGAAAACATATTTGAGTGTATAATGTCGAATGAAGCTGTAGTTATATTGAAATGAAACTGTAATTGTGTTGAAATAAAACTGCAGTGTATATAAAATGAAACTGAATATGTTATACAAACAGAGGTTACTTTATGTGAAACGACGTGAAACAGATGTCGTTTCTTTTCATTAAAAGAATCGACACTGTTTTGAAGTCTGGATCACAATGTATTGTAGTATTGTAGACATCGGCAATAGTTATGCTGTGCAACCGAATGTACCATGCGCATGGTGCATACGATGCAAAACGACGTCGTTTTGACTAAAAACGCGCGTCCCACTTTAAAAAAAAAAAATTCAGGTTCGATTCTCGGCAATAGCATTATTGTGTATATATAGTTATGAATTTCTGGATATATAGTTATAAATTTGTGGATATATAGATGGATATTTAGTTCATTCATTGTGGATATTTAGTTCATTCATTGTAGATATTTACTTCATTCATTCACTGTGGATATATAGTTATGAATTTATGGATATATAGTTATGAATTTATGGATATTTAGTTCATTCATTGTGGATATTTAGTTCAATCATTGTGGATATTTAGTTCATTCATTGTGGATATTTAATTCATTCATTGTGGATTTTTACTTCATTCATTGTGGATTTTTACTTCATTCATTCATTCATTGTGGATTTTTACTTCATTCATTCACTGTGGATATATAGTTATGAATTTGTGGATATATAGTTATGAATTTCTGGATATAAAAAAATGCTATTGCCGGGAATCGAACCTGATTTCTTCTTTAAGTGGAACGCGCGTTTTTTTAATCAAAACGGCGCCGTTTTGCAACCGTATGCACCTTGCAAGGTGCATTCGGTTGCACAGCATAATTTGCGAGACATCGGTCCACAGGTTAATTTGCCCTCAAATTGCAATAGTTATGCTGTGCAACCGAATGTACCATGTGCATGGTGCATACGGTTCAAAACGACGTCGTTTTGATTAAAAACGCGCGTCCCACTTTAAAAAAAAAAAATCAGGTTCGACTCTCAGCAATAGCATTATTGTGGATATATAGTTATGAAATTGTGGATATATAGTTATGAAATTGTGGTTATATAGTTATGAATTTATGAATATTTAGTTCATTCATTGTGGATATTTAGTTCAATCATATATTGTGGATATTTAGTTCATTCATTGTGGATTTTTACTTCATTCATTCATTCATTGTGGATTTTTACTTCATTCATTCATTCATTGTGGATTTTTACTTCATTCATTCACTGTGGATATATAGTTATGAAATTGTAGATATATAGTTATGAAATTGTGGTTATATAGTTATGAATTTATGGATATTTAGTTCATTCATTGTGGATATTTAGTTCAATCATATATTGTGGATATTTAGTTCATTCATTGTGGATTTTTACTTCATTCATTCATTAATTGTGGATTTTTACTTCATTCATTCATTAATTGTGGATTTTTACTTCATTCATTCATTAATTGTGGATTTTTACTTCATTCATTCACTGTGGATATATAGTTATGAAATTGTGGATATATAGTTATGAAATTGTGGTTATATAGTTATGAATTTCTGGATATATAAAAATGTTATTGCCGGGAATCGAACCTGATTTCTTCTTTAAGTGGGACGCGCGTTTTTTTAACCAAAACGGTGTCGTTTTGTAACCGTATGCACCTTGCAAGGTGCATTCGGTTGCACAGCATAATTTGCGCTCAAATTGTCGTTGGTTTTATTTTAACAAGTTGGCTTTATCAAACACGAAAAATTGGGCTAGAAATAGGGGGTCCGGTTTAGTTAAAGGCCCGAAATCAGTAAAGTTTAAAATTTCTTTCGGCTTTCTTCTATCATTCGAGGAAATTCTTTATTCTGTGTTGGTCCATATTGAACGGGCAAATTTATTTCGTGGACCAGGTTCATATTGAATGGACAATACTTTTAAGTTACATAATTTCATAATGCGACGAGACATAAAAACTCAAAAAAACAAGATATATACAGATGTTATATATTTACTTATTCTTAAATATGATTTATGTAGATATTATATGTCCTATAGGCACATAACTTTATAATACAAGACATAAATTTGTAAAATAAGACACACAATATGTTGTATGTTACACAACTACTAATATATTTCAAGTACAAAAACCATACGTTTAAATTATAAAATTGCATACCATGAAACACAAACGCATAATACTAGACACATAGACATGTTTTATATTTACTTTAGTTCAGGTATAGAATTAATATTCTTAAGGTACAAACTGCATTACATAAGATACAATAACGCATAACATAAGACAC